ACCAACATAGGTTTGTGTACTGGCCAGAAGAAATGTAGCATTCGGTGGGTTGGGAAATGCAAGCCTGACACAAGGCTCAGAGCATGATCATTACAAGGACATTCAGTGGGCAATACTCCCTCAAAAGAGACCAACTTCATCCTACTGCAATGTAGCATTCAGCAAAATGTCAACATACATTGTACAGTGGTACCAAAGGTGCTCAAATGAATAAGGCCTTGTCAAACAGCTGAATGAGGTCAACAATGCAGTCAGCAAAAGGCATCCGCTGAATGGCATGGAGGTAAGATCAATGTGCAGACTGTTTGGTGCATGGGTGTGCCAGCATAGCCCAGACCACGCTGGGCTGAAGATCCTGATGTTTTGTTTGCATATGATCACCATCACAGCATTATGATTTCTTCAGCATTTCTATCAGACTTACTTCCCGCATGGCGAGGTCAGAATTCTGAGGGTTTTTTTAGGTGCTGATACCATGGGAAACTTGTGCTAGAAACCTCAGGCTGCATAGTATTGATACTTTTGTCAAACCTGTTAAAAACACTTCCATTCAGTATGCAAAATTATAATTCATGAACATTCATTGCTTATTGGAGGCTATTAACAAGAACAGGGCACAGCTGAATCCCAGTCATTGCTCCGGCATATAAGTGTGCTGCTTCTGAAGCCAGAAGTCAGGTTCAAAAGGATTCAGATGTGTAGACCCTAGAATAATGTACAAGATCAATTTAGTTTTAGATGTGGGCATGACCAGAAAGTGCTGGAATGTAGATTGTTGCCATGCGTATTGGCATTATGATCAGGTGCTGTATGTTGTAAATCAGACATTGCTAGCCTTTATGGTGTAAGCAAATGAAACACTCTCAATGTATGCACATGTTCGTTAATGCAGGCATACAGATATGCTGTCAGGTGTGAGATCCAATTGATGCTTAAAAGAAATTCTCAATTTTGTTTTGTTCGCAAAGATCTTGGTTCATCAAACTAACTGATCTAACCTCATGCAATTCCACGGTAAGTATACCATGTTTTCACCCGTGAAAAAAATGACGAGGAAGATTGGATGATGCATCAGGGTATCGAAGCAGCATTCATGTGTGACACAATACGCACCTTTCACCCATCTTCGCCAGACACGTCCTTCTTTGCTGCTGAAAAACCATGTCCACACCTCCAACGCGCGAAGCCGGAGCGGCGGCAACGTTATACAGGACGCACAAAGCACCCGCCGTTTCTGCGCCAATTATTAGCAACGTCTGTCGCAGGCGCGCCATACTCGTATAAAATGCTGGGAATATATAAACGTCTTGATAATTATTTTCTTTCCTTATGCGCCCCAATGTCCGCAGGTATACAGCGTTTGAACCGTAACGTCCCTATCTCACGGTCGTCTGCTATTCGTGTGGCCCAGATTAAGGCCCCAGACTTGGCAATCAGCTCGGACAACATCCGCAAAATTGATCCGGATGTGGCTGAGAAGCAGAGTCAGAATTTTGTTGCTTATTCCCTTGCTGTGAGTGTACTTTTTTACCCAGGTGGCCTTTTAGGAGAATCTGCGAATTTATACTCGAGTTCAAATGCCTGAAATCGATCATCACCATGAAATTAGAACTAAATCTAAACTTAACGTAGGCCTATCTCAGATAAAACCATGAAACTGACTCCAATCCCTCCTGAAAAGTCCCACCTGTCATTTGGTGGGCAGCGTAAGCTTTAATGTGTAGAAAACAAGGCTGATATTTTCACGAATGTAGAACTTCACGAATCGCCATTGTAAGACGGTGACGACACCAGATCAGTTTCGGCTTTAGTCCTTGAAAACAACTTTGGTTTACTGGAATTTTGGACTTGCCTTCATTTGGTTTCGCATTTCATTCACATCGAGCTCGATTCGTCATGCTAAGGTTCAATTTCAGTCTGGTTCAAATCTTTCAGTCCTCATCGTTATCTGATCTCGGTCTTTATAAGCGACGCATTTATTACTTAAACATTGATTACAGAAGCACGCCGGCTTCATGGATACTCCATACCACCCTGTAGCAGACTCCACAAGTAACAGATCATCATTGCAGGGGGTGTTTCAGCAAAGAGATCACACGAAGGTACCTCAGCTGAACGGCCACCCGATGACGACTCAATTGAAACATATCACGGGCAGCGGCGTAGGCGGAGGGGAAGCAGAGATGCACTATGCGGTCCGTCCGCGCGTCGAGTCGTGGCGCCAAAGACTGTCAATCCTGCGTGAGCTTGCTAGTGAAATATTCATGTTCCCCTTTAATCGTCCGTGATGTCGTCATCTGTGTTCTGCTAGCTCAAAGAGCGTCACATGGACGTAACAATGCATATCGCATTATCTTAAAGAGAATGTTCCACGCTTCGAGATTTGGAGCAAGTGTCAGATACGATGAAATAAGCTCAGTCATAACTGCTGGTTTACTTTTATGCGGAAAAGACTACCCTAAACTACACTTTTCTGCGATAAGTAAATATGGTTCTCAGTACATCTCCGTTTGATCACGTCATCGTATCTTGCGCAACATTGATTGGCTGAGAGTCATCAAGCTCAGACTGGGCTGTGACGGTCATGTGTCCGCAAAGACAGAAGGGAGAAAGTCGCTCTTTGCTGCCTACGCCTAGGGCACACTGCCACACATCGCCACCTGCTGTTTGCTGATGATAGCCCCCGACGGCCCCGATGCCGTGACCCGCTGACTGCACCACGCGTTGACCTTGGTCGTAAGCTAGTTGGAACGCGAGTGCAGTTTTTTGGTCGGAATGTCTCAGATCTTACACTGCCCGACATTTCAGGTAGCGACTCTCCAGCCGTCGGAACTGGAAAACTGTCTCAGTTTCTGTCTGCCGAAGTGTTTGCCGTGCTGTTTTCACCACTGTGCCATGCTGACTCACATTCGTTTAGGTTAACGTTGTTTCTATTTCAAAAATCCGTTTGAAATGCGACTTGGCCTCGTAACAGGATAGTTATGTGCGCTATATAACCATTTGCTGTCGATGCACCCTAAAACTCCAACTCATCATCATCATTGGACGTCTGGGTAACCTTGGACTAGTCCCCCCCCCCCCCCCCCCGATGCCGTCTGGAAATGTTCGGGGGCGTGTATCTCAGAAACTAGAGGGGTTTAGGTATTAAGAAGGGCAAGGTTGCAAACTGCACCGAACGATCTTCTAGATGGCTATTGCAGTTCAAAACCGCATGCAAGTGTGAAACGCTCACTGGCCATGGTCACAAGCCGAGTAGGTGGCGCTACGTCATACCAAATGCGGGTCCAAGGGTCCAAAACCAACACCCCTTGGGGTTTTGTCGAAGGATAACAAAGACAGTTCTGACGCAAAGCTGTTCAAATTCTCTTTCGTATGCACCAATAGTGTTTCCATGCAGTGGAATTAATTTCCTGAACAATTGTTCATATTTATGTCAGTTACAACTGACCAGTTTACCCCTGCTGACTGCTCCCCGCTGCACTTGAGGTAGTGCGGATAGTCGGACTGGATGTGTGATCTGTGCCTATGCCTAGACGCTGCACTTTCTCA